TTTCTCCCTCCATTGTTGAAATCAATCTACGTAAACAAGTGTCAAATGTCAAGGACGCCTACGAACTTCCTTTTAAAGTTACCTTCGAAAACAAGTTGAGAAGCTTTCAGTTTAAAATTGTACATAACATCATACCAACCAATCTCTCTCTATATAAAATGAACATAAAAGAAACACCGCAATGCGGGCGCTGCCTCTTCCAAAATGACACACTTGTTCATACATTTCTTGAGTGCCCTGAAGTTGAACCCTTCTGGTAAGACGCTATAACGTGGTGGAATACCAAACGTTCAGACAATATTAATCACAATTATACTAAAATTCTTTATGGCTACAAACCTTACTCTAAGAGCTTTTACGCGTTAAATCATTATCTTCTTATTGCTAACATGATCATATATTCCTCACAAGAAATCAGAGTCTCCGAGCCTAAAGGTCTTTCTTGCCTTACTGGAAATAAAATCAAATGTGAAAGACAAACGACCATTAAAAATTCAAACTGCAGAAAACACGAAGCTAAGTGGACCACTCTCTGCATTTGCGATGCGTGAAGTATCTTTCCTTTTTTATCCTCTTCAATTGTACTTGTATATTTCCAACCCTATCTCTATGTCCAATAATGAAAGCTAAGGTGTCATATTTCTTTATTTTTTCGAGGTCTTTGTACTTTTTCTATATATTTTTTTTCTTTGTAGTGTATCTTTAAAGCTTCAGCGATATATATGTAATTCTGAAATTAGCGTTAGTTTTTTGTGCTAGTAGTGAGCGTGTGCGTTACATTTCATAAATTTTTTCTTGGTCTGTACTTTGAAAAGGTGAAAAAAAAGAGAAAGAATTGTAAGCAGTGTACTATTGAGCATTGTATTAGCATTATTTTTGTACGTATAAGTGTAAATTGTAAGTAGTTTCAGCAGTGTTTTGTTATGTGTTAATAATAATAATAATAATAATAATAAATCTGAAAAAAATAAATAACTAAAAGCTAGAACTGTAAGGTAATGAACTTTTGTTTGGACTCACGTTTTGTTTCTTCGAAGAACACTGATGTAGAAACTGCAGAGAAATTTATCCTAATGTACACACAACTTCTCACAAGAGACTTTCTTTCTGTGCTTTCAGAGTAAGTTGGCGACTGTAGTATTTCTGCATAGGACCGTTCGCCAGGATAGTACGATTCGTTGTCAGAATGTTCATTTTCATTAACATCGATTTTTCTGTATGGGTTTCTAGTAGGGCCGTCCGTGGTTTGTCGGGTCACTTCGACCTTTTTCCTTATGTGGCGGGCGGGACCGAACGGGTCATTTGATCACACCATTAACTTCTCCGAAGTTGCAGGACTACTCAGACATCATTGAGCATTACATAGGGAAAAAGAAAAAATCTGCTTTCGAACACTAGTCCTATTGCGCCATCATTCCTTTTGAGCCATCTTGAACAAAATCTCAGTCGTGCGTATATAACATGACGTGTGCAGTTTCAGTTCAACTGCAAAATTTCTGTCGAGTTTAGTGCAAGTTGGTTTTGTTAAGTTTCGGCAAAGTGAAGATTATTCTGAACAATCCAAACCCTACTTCGAGCCTTTGACTTTTGCCTGGCTAAGATGTTTACTTAAACTTGAGTATTTTGACTTTGTTTGTCTACATTTTCATTGAACATTTTTGACTTTGCTCGCCTACATTTTCATTACTTAATACGAAGAAGCGAATTTTTCATTGACAATTTTAGAAACCAGGTTAGGCGTTTTCGTTCAACTGTTGCTCGTGTTAGGATCCTAATGAGCTCTGTTTTCCTTCACTGTGCATCGTGAGAATTAATTGTAGTCAATCACAAATAAAGCATGTTTTAGCGCCTAAGTTGTTGTCGCCATGTTATAAAAGAACTGGTTTATGCTTTTAGCTGTGCGTATATCGAGTTATGGATGCACTTGGGAAGTTTGGAGAGCACTCAAGACGCTAGAGTTGCTCTCGGCTATAGCCGCGAGCGACTCTTACGCTTCTTTCGTGCTCTCCAAACTTCCCGCGTGCATCCATAACTCGATCAGGAACGCTAAGCATGAGCCAAGTCTTAATTATATGCAAGGAAAGGTGAAATTAAACTGGAAACAAAGACACATTTTGCCACTGACGGTCTTCATGCGTGCATGAGATTGTTTCGAAATTACGACCTATTACTCAGACTAAAGTACTGGACCAAATTACATGGCCAGAGGAAACGAATTTCCATTTAGGGAACATTCCAAACTGGTGAACAGGATTACATGGATCTTTTTAGAAGTTCCGGTTTTCGCAGGAATTTTCTAGTGGAGCAAACCGAAGAAGCGTTCACCATTCACCTCCGAACCGAATTCGCCACAAATTTAATCTAAACAAACAGTGCCCTGGTTTTCTTGTAAGCTAGGGCCGACTGGAAACCAGTCACGAGCAAGACAGAATCATGCTCTTTGTCTCATTAATAGCGGACCTCCGGCGGCCCCAAGGGCCGCCAAGCAGAGCCCATACACCTATAGGAAAGAAAAGGAAACCCATGAATTGATTTTCTCATGGTTTATATAAAGATTCAGGCCAGCCTAAAAGCGTAGCTCTTAGGCCGGGTTGTTCAGAGCCCAATTAAGGTAACCCAGGAAAAGGTAGAATTTTGATTTGAGTTTTGTAACTTTGCGGTGAGGTTTTCTGTTTATTGTTTGGCCTTCTGTTTTGAGTTTTAATAATCACCATATACACAAAACAAAGCAGCAAAAAACATTTGTGTAGAAGGAAAAGTTATACTTCGGTTAACTTTTAATCCTGGGTTAGCGTTAACAGGCCTCCGAACATTCCTGCCCTGTTTTCAGCAAGTTAACTTGATATGAGCCCGCAATCCAATCGAAAAACCAGCACTTGGTCAGCGGCCAGCTTCAAAAAAACACATCAACTGTAAACTTGAGCCCGCGATAAGTTTCTCTTGATCATAACATGGATGTCCAATATCAAGGAAGTACACGATAAACCAAGGCTGCATGCCTCTGTCAACCTGTTATTTGGAGTATGGCCGCCATGTTGCGCGACTACGTCGTCGTCGACGCCGTCGTGCGTACGCGCCCACGAGCAATACCGCTAGCCATGATAACCATGAGAAAATCAACTGATGGGTTTCCTTTTCTTTCCTATATGAATATGGGGCTCCGCTTGGCGGCCCTTCGGGTCGCCGGAGCTCCGCTACCATGGCTAGCGGTATTGCTCGTGGGCGCGTACGAACGACGACGACGACGACGACTATGACGACGGAGTCGCGCAAGATGGCGGCCATACTCCAGCTTAAAGGTTAATAGAGACATGCAGCCTTGATTTATAGCCTCCTTCTTTGATATTGGACATCCATGTTATGGTCAATTGACACCTGTCAAAACAAGGTATCCGCTGACTAGTGTCACGTGACCATATTGCGGGCTCAAGTTTTGAGCTCATCGAGGTAACGAGTTTTTTTGAGTTGACCGCGGGCTCATGTTAGCTTAACTTGTTGTAAACGGGGCCGGGTTGTTCGGAAGCCGGTTAACGCTAACCCAGGATTAAAAGTTAATAGAAGTATAAAAATTTGTTGTATACAAATGTTTTGTTTTGTGTATTTTGAGATTATTCAAACTCAAAAAAGAAGGCCAAACAATATACAGAAAACCTCACTGCAAAGTTACAAAACTAAAATCAAAATTCTAGCTTAACCTGGGTTATCTTAATAGGGCTTTAAACAACCCAGCCCTGGAGTTCCGCTTTTAGGCTTGGCTAAACCTATATATTATTAGCATGACGCACTAACCGACTCGCAGGTTAACGCGCAATCTGATTGGCTACAAAAGGGTACCTTAAAAATTGCATTAACTTTGCGTTTCTGTAATAAGATTTATTCGTGCACTCGCCGTCTAATCTTCTGTCAATTAGACTGACGTGTTTTTAGTACAGCAGGTGATAAAATGACTTGAAGACTAAATCTTGGCGAGGTTTTTTATGTATCAATCATCTTTCATATATCCCAGCTTCTTGAATTAATTTATTAAATTTAATGAATTTTTATTTTTGATGGCGCGACACTGTAAACCAGCCATACATGTTGTTGGCACTATTACACTAAATTAACATTTTCTTTTCTCTTTCTTTTTTCTTTTAAGTTATTTCCATTCGCAGCAGGTTTTGTACGGTTTTTATTTGAGTAAATTGTTAGTTCTTCACGCTTATAAGTAAGTCTTGTATGCGCTGGACAAATAGTCTTGACAATCACCTTTCAATTTTTTCAACATCTAACAAACAAGTGACAATAAACATTACAATGTTTGGACTTGACTTTGCAGAAATCTATCAAAGGCATTACCTGTGGTTACCCTCCCTTGAAGTTATTCTACACCATTTATCCACTGCAATATGCTAATGCAAAAATTGGTAACAAAAAAACAAAGTTCTGTCTATTAGACTGACGTGTTGTTTAATACAGCAGGTGATAAAATGACTTGAAGTCTTCCTGTGCACCCATAACTTGAAGGTTTAAATCATTTCGAGAAAGGACTACTCACTAAACACTCAGAGGAGAAATTATTTCCCAAAGTACAAACTGAATACATAGGCAAGTAAAAACTAATGATATAATGTCCCGATGTTTCGGCGACCCAATGACGCCATTATCAAAGAATGAATAAATGAGAGCGAGTTCAAAAGAGGTAAGACCTGTAGATTTACATAAATGAAGTTAAGTTGGACAAGTAGAACTTTTCAAAAGATTAAAAAGTGAGAAGCATAAATTCTTATTTTAAAAAATTTTCTTTTCCTACTGTTTCGGAGACACTGAAACTGGTTAATAAGCGGGCTGTTTTATTTCACCGCAGTGGAGGTGAATCGAATAGACCTGTGCTGATCACCTCCAAGTTAACCAATCAAAACGTAAGAAAAGCGTTATCCACTTTTGTGGGAGTACTAAGACATGTCAAGACTCAAAGAGGTTTGTTCGCATGCAAAGCATTGTATTATAGTATTGTATTCCTGAATAATTCCTACTCTATGACGGTTACAATTGCCGTGTTTAAGAAATACAGTTTTTCCACCTGTCCTTTTTCGTAAAGGGGCTTTTACAAGTTGATACAACGTTATGCTTCTCTACATAAACCGTATAGTATTACAAGTTACAAAAATATAACCCTACAATTTCAGTTAGTACTTTAAATTTCTAGCCTGCAATATAATAAACTTCCGCCAGTACGAAGCAAGTTATAAAACTACATTTATTCAAATCAGCGTGTAGAAACTACTTTTAATACAGCAATATTTGAAGCGTTAAAAGGAAAAATACATGTATAACTCAGCAATAACTGAACTAACTCGATTAACAGCAAATGCTTCTCTGATTGTCTCCTTTACTGCTTGCTTCACTTCGCTGATCTTCCAGCAGTAAAGAATCGGGTTTAACGATGAGTTCAAGTAAACTAAAGTTGTTGCAACGTACAAAACGAAAATACTGGATGGAGATGATTTACTATCATATACTAAAGCTGTCGCTATACCATATGGTAAATAACAAGCAACTAATGTACACTGCACCCACAGTGCACTGGACACTCCCTTTCTGTATCGCTCTATGTTCAGTGGATTTATTTGGCTTGGTTGTTCTTGTTGGTCATGGCCCTGTACTTGAATTTGACGATGACGGAGTTTTAAGAAAATCTTTGTGTACGAGGCGATTGAGGTTACTAGACATAAAGGAATAATTACATAGCCGTACCAACTGGGTATAAGGGGATTTAAAAGGAAGAATATCGAGAAAATAGCGGACATAACCCCAAAAATTACTACAATAACATATGTTCGCCTTAAAGTTACAACTTGTCTGTATCTCAGCCCTAACAACAGGGCGAGAAGTCTGTCCACACTTATTGCACACGCTGTAAGCAAAGATACTGAACACAAAGTATAGCCTATAATAAAAAAAGACGCATATGCGTAGCGACAAAGTTTCCATTGTTCGTGAGTCAGGGACAACCAATATACAACACTGAGAGGCTCTGTAATAAGACCGACGCAGAGATCAGTTGTGGCCAGACATCTAATCAAGAGTTTGGACGGTGGATGAAGGGAAGACACCTTGCGAAGGGCAACGAGGATCAGAGTATTGCCTAGAACTGCAGTAATCGATAGAAAAATGTTTACGGCCGATAGATATATCCACTGTTCATGTATTCCACTCGTCCAGCCGGCCGAACATCGAAGTTGTAGAACTGCTTGAGTGTCCTTTCTTTCACCGGTAAAATTCATTATTCTACAATCCGTTGATCTGTAGTTATAACGACAGACGTTTCATTAGAATCCACGCAGGATCAAATAAGCTTCAACTTCTTGCTGTACATTCAAAAAACTACATTATGGCTCTAAAATGTTTTAGTATAAATAAAAGAATTGGACATTCTGATTGGTCGAAAAGCTCGGCTTATATGAAAACAATAGCGTCTAATATTTGATGCATTATAATTAACAAATATCGGACGAGGTTGAGAAAAATGTCGTGAGTTGTCAGTGGAGAGCAGATCAATTATTTGATAATTGATCTGCGAGACAAATAACGATATTTTGCGATAACCGAGTTCAATAATTGCTTTATCATTCGATCACCATATTTGTCATTTAAATCACTTTCTGACAGCACAGTGGAACAATGTTCCCTTTTTCATCAGAGATCATGGTTACAATTATGCAAGAGCAGAATATTATTTGCAGCAAACACATTTAGACGGTTCTACACATGAGCAGACCATTATTTGTCGGCAGTTATATGTAATGAATCGGTTACATGTAATGAACACAAGTGTAAATTTACACTGCGCCTAAATGAATTAGGAACGCATCTCCTCGCCCGAGGTTATAGTAACTCTTTCCTAATTGACTCACAATTCAAACGAGCTGCTAATAGTTCTTGCCCTGATGCTTTAAATTCCAACCGTCATGATTCCATTAACCGCTTACCTTTTGTTGTTACATATTACCCATATCACTTCCTCACATTTATCATATCTTACGTAAACATTTTAACATATTACTTTCCTCCAACCGCTGCAGCAAATTTTTTTAACACCCACCCATCGTCGCCTGCAGACGCACTTCTAACCTTCGTGACATTTCAGTTTAAGCTAAACTACCCACTATCACGACTCCTAATAACACTAGTTTACAACCCGCCTCATTTCGCTGTGGACAAGATTAAGCTTCTTGTCCTTACATCACTAACGGTCTTAGACAATACACTTTCCTCTCCACAGGTGCAACCCGTCACACCACTTCACACATAACCTGTAACAGCAAAAATTTAATCTACATGATACAGTGTAGCCGCTGCCATTTACAATACATAGGTGAAACTAAGCGACGTCTCAAAGACAGATTCAACGAACATAGACGCTTTGTTGACTAAACTAACATTAAATCCAAACCCACTACTGTTGCCGAACATTTTCTTTCTCACTCTAATTATTGCTATACTGACATGCAGCTAATCCCACTTGAACTTATCCACTTCTCAGTGATTCAATCAGAAAAGCCAGAGAGTCCTTTTTAATAGATTTAGCAGGAACATTGGAACCCGGCGGTATGAATAGACGTGATGAATCGTTAGACTTTACCCTTACTCCATTTAGTTTGTTTTGTTCGTCATTTCCGCCACTCCTTTTAGTTTCGGAATATGTGTTACGACATCCACCACTATATAATATTTAACAATTATTCACCGAAGTGGAGGTAAATATCCATCACTTTCACCGACACTGAGGTGAATAATTGTTTTATATATATACCACGCAAACTGAATAATTAGCGGACCAAAACCTTATTTTATGTGTGACAAGCGGTCGGAAATTTTAAAATCTCTCGCACCGGCTGCTCGGAGGTGAATAGTGCTTGCTAATCACCTCCGGGTTAACCAATGAGAGCGCGCGAAAAGCACTATTCACTTTTGTGGTATATACTAATGTAATCTATAACTTAGTAACATCTAAACCTGAAGAAGGCTGGTCTGGCCAGCCGAAATACTGTTTCAAATATACCACGTTGTATCAGCTTTGCAGTAGTCTTTGACTTATCATCCTTGTACATAATAAATACTAACCTCGTCTTCTCGGTCCGTACTGTAAGTTACGGATCCTCGTTTTTTTCCGCGTCGATATGTTTCTTTATAAATCGAAGAGGAAAAAACTCGGTCCGTAACTTACAGTACAGCCCGAGAAGTCGAGGCTAGAAAGAGGTATATATAACATTTTTACAATAACTGTCTAATTTCTCGCGCGCTCATTGGCTCATTTTTATTATCAATAAGAGCACAGACTGATAAAAGTTTGATTTATGCAAGCTTTCAAGTTCAACTTTTAGCTGTCAAACTGTCAACTTTTTAATCAATGAGATTTTAAGGATTAAGTACGTAGCCAATCAAAAACCGAGAAAAGCTATTGACAATGGTCGCGTCATTTTGAATAACATTCACTTATTTTTGTTTACGTCAAGTTTACGGCGTCTTTTCCCCTCATTTATTCCCGGCATTTGACCATTTTGGGGTCTTGTTATTGTAAAAAACAAATTGACGTCACTTTTTTACGCGTCTGTCCTCTTAGTGAGGATAAATTTTGCCGTAACTTTGTCAAAGTTTACTGCGGAACCACTCGCCAGCAGCTCGTGGATCCACAGCCACTTTGACAATGTTATGACGCAATTTATCACCAATAAGAGGTTAGACGCGTAAAAATCTGACGTCAATTTATTAATTCGAAGCCTGGTTACTAAGCTTGCCACCTTTGCTATCTCGGCAAGTGAACATGGCGGACAGTTGCTGAATGAAATTTTCATTTATTCGAAAGACATCACTCCAAGTCCAGGATATTTGAGAGGATGGAGAATTTTCAAAATGACTGCTGTCGCCCTTGGACCAAAATCTTTTCAAGAACTCGTGTTTCAGGTATTTAACAGTCGTAAACGCAGGTCAGATCAATTGACCGCAATTTATTTTTCTTCAAACCATAAAGTTACTTATTTTTAGACGATGATGACAACTGTGGATGAAGTCAACAACGCTAAAAAAGGGTATCGGATGAATACATTTTTCGTAGTGTTTCCCTTGTTTGGTTTACTGCCAAACTCGATGAGTAAAGTGATTCACAATCGATGCACATGCAAGCTTGTTATTAAAACTACGGCTGCATACGTGTGTGCAAACAAACAACTGAATCTGTGTTTTTATATTTTAGTCCGTTATTTTGTAGTCCTTGATATTTACCTCTGAAAATTATACTAAAACAAGTAATCGCCTCAGGCTCAGGGAACATTGATGAATATTCACCAATGTTCATTTCGCCTTTGGCGAATAATTGTTAAATATAAATATCCGTGGAAAGCCGTCCTTACTTTACCACACATATCAAATTTTAAAGCAAATTATCAGCTCCTATATTATTTAGAAACAAGACCATATTCAAGACAAAATCAGAAGCTGCAAAAAGTTTGTTCAGTAAGCTGACATACTTAAAAGGTTTCAGTTCTTAAAAGCTTCACCAACATAGAATAAAGTTTGGGTATTTTAAGATCACTAGGTTACAGTTTTCATCTATAAAATGCAGCGTCAGCTTTTCAAATGCACTACCGCAATTAATTTCCAGGTTACCTTACCTGTGGTAACTACAAGCATATCGTTATTAGCTAAATTAATTTTGAATTTGAATTTGTTTTGCAGATTGTTTTCCTTTAGCAGGTTTGATCTGCTGTCTTCTTTGCGAAGCGTAAAGACCGTGTTTTTGCAGCTTCCAGGACTATGTCATCAGAACTCGCTTCGGAATCGCTATTTACTGGGTGGAGCTTCTAAACTGCATGAAAACCATATAAGGTCATTATTATAGGAGTATATCATATTGGTTCCAATAAATAATATTAGCATAACCCTGTTACCGACTCTCCGCTGGTAAACTTGCAATCTGGTTGGCTACACAGGAGTACTTTCAAAATGGTATCAACTTTCCATTTTCATGAAATTTTTATAATGAAAATATTTTTTTGTGTGTGTTTGACAGATCGGTTAGTGGGTTTTCCGAAACCAATTAGGTGGCTCTCTCTTGGTTGCTTTCAGCCAATAAAACCTGGAGTTTGCCTTCTAATAGAACACAGCTTTAGCCGACATGATAAAAGAGGAAACATCCACAATACGCTATTTTAAAAATATTCAACACGGAAAGAAAATTCTGTTAATTAGAGTAAACTGCACTCTGGACTTGTTGTCTACTTCAGCAGGTGATAATTGACTTGAGGACTTCTTGCGCACGCAGAACGTAAAGGTTTAAATTATTCATCTCTGATAGAGCAAATTAAACTACTCAAGAAACTTGAAGAAGAGGAATCAGAAAATTGTTAAAATGTTTGCCAATTTACAAACCGAGTACAAATTGAATAGCACGGAGAACAAGAGAGTAAAATAAACCGAAGATCTTATTAACAGAAAACTGTTTATCTATATATCTATCCATTTCTAAGACAGCGCAGCTACTATTACACAGAATGTTATTTTCATAAGATCCAGTGGGGACCTATGAGTAGACCTATTTTCTCCGAGTTATTACAAATTATATTTTAGTCAAAAAAGCAAGCGAAAAAACAGCGTTCAAAACAGCAATATTTGAAGGGAAAAGTGCAGGAATTATTTCACTCAGCAATCACTTAGCTAACTCGAGAAACAGCAAAGCGCCTCTCTGATTGTCTCCTTTACTGCTTGCTTCACTTCGCTGATCTTCCAGCAGTAAAGAATCGGGTTTAACGATGAGTGCAAGTACATTAAAGTTGCTGCAACATCCAACATGAGAACACTGGACGGAGATGTTTTGTTATAACTTACCAAGGCTATCAGTATACCATTTGGTAAATAACAAGCAACTAATGAACACTGCACCCACAGTGCACTGTACACTGTCTTTCTGTATCGCTGTATGTTCAGCGGATTTATCTGGCCTGGTTGTTCTTGTTGGACATGGCCCTGTACTTGAATTTGATGGTGACGGAGCCTTTGGAAAATCTTTGTGTAGGAGGCGACTGAGGTTGCTAGACATGTTATTGTACCTATGCAGACGTACCCTATCGTTATAAGGGGATTTAAAAGGAATAATACTGGAGCAATAACGGACATAATCCAAAAGATTGCTACAATCAAATATGTTCGCCCTAAAGTTACAACTTGTCTGTATCTCAGCCCTAAAAACAGGGCGAGAAGTCTGTCTACGCTTATTGCACTCGCTGTAAGCAAAGATACTGAACACAAAGTATTGCTTGCAAAGACACTCGAGATATAAACATAGCGACAAAGATTCCATTCTTCGTAAACTAGAGATGTCCAGCAGACAACACTAAGAGGTTCCGTTATAACACCAACGCAGAGATCAGTTGTGGCTAGACATCTAAACAAGAGTTTCGACGGCGGATGAAGGGAAGACACCTTGCGAAGGGCAACGAGGATCAGAGTATTGCCAAGAACTGCAGTAATCGATAGAAAAATGTTTACGGCCGATAGATATATCCACTGTTTATGTATTCCACTCGTCCAGCCGGCCGAACATTGAAGTTGTAAATATGTTTGATATTTCCTTTTTTCCATCAGTGAATGCTTGGATCTGTAGTTTTAACGACAAATGTTTTATCGGAATCCACAAAGGATCAAATTAGCTTCAGCTTCGTGGGCTGAATTTAAATAGCAACTTAACGACTTCATATAATATTAACATCTGCCCAGAGCTGTCTTTTATCTCACTGTCATGTTCGAAAATTAACGGGAAAAAAATTCATAATTGAAGACAAATCGGGCGATGCAAACCGGCTTTTATGCGTGCCTTAGATACTACGAAAGGTTTAAACCATTAAATTCTTCCCTGACCTAGAATAACTGCAGGTTATTTCTTGCAAATATGTTTAATAAGCTCGGCTGAACGAAGTAGTAGTAGAAAATGATGTGTCGCAGCATCATGCTGGGGTTTGACTGTTAAAGATACCGTCATCTCTGTGCGGACAACTTCATAATACGAACGCCTCATTTTATGGACAGTTCAAACCACGATTCATATATGATCCCTACCATTACAGAACACGTTCTAAAAACAAACGAGATGTTCTAAAATACAATTTCTCGCAAAAATGTGGCTATTCGGCTTTAATTTTTCCATAAAATTACTAATCTGGCGCAAAATGAAGTTTTGGATTGTTATTTTGCCAGGCTGGTAAAACCTTTGGCGCGGTTTTGCCTTGACGGCATAAATATTGCCAAACGAAGGCAAAACGTCACTGGACTGGTAAAACTGTAGCGAATCCTAAGAAATTTGCCAGAAGCGAAGCCTTGGGAAAAATTATGGCACAAATTTATTAAGATAGATATATTTAGGAAAAACTAACGATAAAAAATTGATACGACAAGCCAGTTTCCTCCCATGGGATAATCAAAGGCGGCAAGAACTCGTGATTAATGTTGATTATTTGCCAAAAAAGCCCTGTTTGTTATCTCTTTTCCTGGTACCTGAACACCATAAATGTTGATATATTCGCAAAGTTGAGAACGAACTGGCACTCTTCAAAAATTATCAAGGCTACAAAAAAATGTTTTTTTAGATTATTTCCCTCCAACAGGTGTGATCTGCTGTATTCTTGGCGAGATAAAGACCGTGTCTTTCCGGCGTTCAGAATATGGCTTGTCTCAACGCGCTTCAAAATCGCCATTTACGGGGAGCGGCTTCTTAACTGCATGGCAGCAATATGAGAACGTCATAAGAATTAGCAGGTAAACGCGCAATCTGATTGGCTACACAGGAGTGCTTTGATAATGGCATCAACTTCCCTTTTTCGTGAAATTTCTGGAAAAAAAAAAATTGTTTTGTTTTTTGACAGATCGGTCAGTGGGTTTTCCTAGGACAATTAGACGGCTCACTCTTGGTTGCAATCAGCCAATAGAAACCTCGAGCTTGCCCTTTAAGATCGCCCCTTTATCCGACATGACAAAAGAGGAAACATCCCCAATATGTTATTTAAAAAATATTCAACAACAAAAGAAGTTCTGTCAATTAGACTGAAGCGTTGTTTAATCAGTACAGCAGGTGATAAATTGACTTGAAGACTTCCTGTGCACTCAGAACTTGAAGGTTTGAATTATTTATCTCTGCTACAGCAGACTACTTTTGAAACTCAGAAGAGAAATTAGACAACTTTTAAAACGGCTTCCAATTAACGAAATGAATAGCAAAAAACGACTTTTCAAGAGAGTAAACTGTAATGTAATCTACTGATAATTTCGTAAGAAAAATAAACTTAACTACCTAATGACAGAAAACTGTTTGCTTACCATTTCGAAGACACTGAGCGGTGGCGCATTCAGACCTTGAGCTAAGCGGGGGGGCGGTTTTGTTTGCCTGCCCTGCCTGCTTTTCTTCCTTCTGCGATTTTTCTTAACCAAAATAAGGAAAAGTCCGGGCCTCCCGGGCCCCTCCTTTAGATCAGCCACTGCTGAAACTGTTTCTTAAGCAGACTGTTATTTTCATTTGGATAAATGAGGACTTACGAGGGAAACTATTTGCATTTTTCTCCACACCTTTTTCAAAAATTTTAACGCTAAAAAACGTTTCTGAAAATCGTCGTACTGTAGCAAGCTTTCCTAAGAAATTCATATCCTACGAAGTTATAAATCATGAGTCTCCATAAACCTATTTCAAGGTAGTAAATTATTAATCTCTATTTTGTACGACCGAAACTGAGTTTGAAACTTAGTTTCCAGTGTTAAATAATAAATATGCTTCTCGGTATCTCGAATTTTAACTTCAGATTATTATATTCATCGTTTATTAACAATCAACCACATGCATGAAACTTACTACAAAGCACAACAAAAAAACCTATACTTTCATATACTACCATAACTTTATATCATAAGTTATTACAAATTATTACCAATTATATTTTTGTCAAAGACTCTTCCAAAATATTAATAATATTTGAAGTTTTACCGTTCTCGGGAAGAGAACACATATAATATAACTTAGCAATGACTGAACTAACTCGATAAACAGCAAATTGCTTCTCTGATTGTCTCCTTTACCGCTTGCTTCACTTCGCTGATCTTCCAGCAGTAAAGAATCGGGTTTAACGATGAGTTCAAGAAAACTAAAGTTGTTGTAGGTGTTACAATGAGAAACTTGGATGGATCTACTTTACTATAACTTACTGAAGCTCTCGCTATACCATATGGTAAATAACAAGCAACTAATGTACACTGCACCCACAGTGCACTGATCACTGCCTTTCTGTATCGCTCTATGTTCAGTGGAACAGGTTGGCCTGGTTGTTCTTGTTGGTCATGGCCCTGTACTTGGATTTGACGATGGCGGAGTTTGAGGAAAATCTTTGTGTACGAGACGATTGATGTTACTAGACACAATGGTATAACTATATAGCCATACCATAAAGTTACATGGTAATTTATAGGGAATGATATTGAAGTAACAGCGGACATAAGCCAAAAGATTGCTACAATCACATATGTTCGCTTTAAAGTTACAACTTGTCTGTATCTCAGCCCTAACAACAGGGCGAGAAGTCTGTCCACGCTTATTGCACTCATTGTAAGCAAAGATACTGAAGACAAAGTATAACCCGCAATAACACTAAAAACAAGTGCGTAGCGACAAAGTTTCCATTGTTCGTGAATCTGGGACATCCAATAGACAACATTGAGAGGCTCTGAAATAAGACCAACACAGAGATCAGTTGTGGCCAGACATCTAAACAAGAGTTTGGACGGTGGATGAAGGGAAGACACCTTGCGAAGGGCAACGAGGATCAGAATATTGCCAAGAACTGCAGTGATGGACAGAAAAATGTTGAACGCTGAAAGATATTTCAAATGTTCATGTATTCCACTTGCCCAGGCGGCCGAACATCGCAATTGCATAACTGTTGGAATAAAATTCATTATTCTGCAATGCGTGGATCTGTAGTTTTAACGACAAATGTTTTATCAGAATCCACACAGGATCAAATAAGCTTCAGCTTCGTGCTCTGAATTTAAATACCTAATTAATGACTCCAAATAATATTACCACCTGCGTAGAGCTGTCTTTTATCTCCCCAAACATAGACTAAATATGTCATGTTTTAGTGCGAACTGTTAAGCCCTGGCCAAATTGACTCGCAAGTAGACTGCGGAAGTTGAGAACTTTGGTCTATTTGCGACTCCGTTTGCCAAGGCCTCGAGTGAACTTGGGTTGACTTGCGATGACTTGCGCTGTCTTCGGTCGAGATCACATTTTCACGCAAGTCGACGCAAGTTTTTCACCGTTTGGCCACCCAACCGAAGTCAACGGAAGTTGAGTGACGTCCATTAACCTTTTATTACCCAATGAAATTCAGGATGGGTGTGGTTTGGAATGGGTTTTTTGCGACTCGCATGTACTAGCGAGAAAACTTGCTACAAGTTTAGAAGAACTTTATTAAAGCAGAGAAAATTGCTGAACGCTGAGAAACATCGCAGCTGTTCGTGTATTCCACTCGCCGGCTGGCCGAACATNACTTGCTACAAGTTTAGAAGAACTTTATTAAAGCAGAGAAAATTGCTGAACGCTGAGAAACATCGCAGCTGTTCGTGTATTCCACTCGCCGGCTGGCCGAACATTGAAATTGTTAAAACGTTTCGGTTTGCATTTCCCCGTACTCAAGATTGTTATTGCTATCATTTTGCTATACGGGGATCTGCAGTCTTAATGACAAATGTTTTATCAGAATCCACACAGGATCCAATAAGCTACAGCTTCGTGGGCTGAATTTAAATAGAGAACTTAAGGTCCGGTAATACGGGCAACATTTTTCTTCAACTTGTCTCGCAACATTGTTGCACTGCAAGTTGAAACACACTGTTGCACGTATTACCACATTTGTGACCAACAACGTTTGTGACAAAAATGTTGCCCGTATTACTGGACCTTTAAGCAGACCATGACGACGACGGCAATGAAAACGCCACCAAACAAAAGGGTTAATGAACAAACCAATGGCTGTGCACGTACGCTATAAGTCTTTGTACATTTCTTTGCCATCCTCTGCAAAACAACAACGTGAAATGACCAAGTCCTGTGTATTTGGAAAACGCAAATGACAGCCGCTTATATTTCGAATTTTCATTTGGAATTGAACGTCTGAGCAAGTTCTGAGACCAAACGGCGCACTGAACAGAAGGTAAAGTACAAATTCATTTTTTACCAAGCGTTGTCTTCGGGCTGTCGTCATTACTTAAGCTCCCTAATAGCTACTTTATGATTCTGAATATATTAATTACCGTGTAAAACTGTTCTTAACTTTATCAAACATGCCAAATTATACAGCTCATTATGTCCGACCATAATTAAGAGAAAAGCGGAAGCTGCCGCGATCTGTTATAAGCCTGATATTTGAAATTTATACCACGAAGTGAGAATTGCAGCATGAAGTAGACAGTAGGGAGTTAAATAAAACCACAACAGCAACGGGAACGGGAACATTGCTAACAAAAGGTTTGGCGAGAAATGGCTGTGGATCATGCGCATAATAATAGACCATTTTACAGTTGTCTGCTCAGTCACCTGGCCTTTGGATGGCAGCGAGGCTGGAGTTGACCTTGTTTTGATACAGACCTCACTGCTTTTGTTGTGTAAAACAAGT